ATTGTGTTCATAAAACCAGTGTTAAAAAAAAAAAAAAAAATGTTTTTTTTTACGGTATAGTTAAATTCCCTCTACAAGCCGAATATAGTAGATACACATTTTGATATAGCCGTCTTGGCGTAGTATCGATATGGCACAAATATTTCAAATTTTAATTAAAATTGCAATTATATGTATTTTAGCGTGCTTGTTTCTGATGTTTTATCTCTGGTTTATAATAACTGTTAAATCATTGAAACCCCTTTGTTTATCAATTCAATAAAAGTTCAATGTGTGTGGTGATCGTGTTTTGGACTAAATAGACCTGGTAAATCTGCTGTACCTGGAGTTTCTGTATATTCAGCTACCCTACTCCTATATTCCTTCTGCCACAAAAGATCCAAGACTTGTTTATGACAATGTTCTTACATCTTGGAAGTGCAATTGTGTAGACCCGTATGATTATAATGCCTCGAGTTATAAAAAACAAAAACGCGTATATAGCTTTGATCTATAGATATAAAATGTGTTAGACCATTTAAGTATAAAAGAATGTTTAAGCAGATAACAACATGTTAAATGTATATTTTTTGGACGCAGTTCTTAATTCGGTCGGGCCTTAGCTGCAAGCGTGAGTCTGCGACATTGCTAACGGTCCGTTGGAGGTTCACAAATTTTCCTAGCTCGCTTTTCTAGTGCCGCGTTTTTGTCACCATTGCGTAGGAGGCAACATAATTATATTTTGTCACCTTCGTAGTATGCCGCTGGCTTTCGAACAACGTGTCTTTTTGTAGTGTACGAGTAAAGGCACATCAAATCGCCTTTACGGACTCGTCCTAGGTCAGACATATTATACCATTATTCAGTGTTTAATATTTGTTAACACTGACGACTGTTTTATAAGCGTCGTGTACTGTCTTTATTATGTCAGGATTTCCATAATGTTCTTAATGTTAACAAAATATGTATATACGCATAGAACTTTATTACATTAAACAAAGAAATAAATAATAAAACAACTTAAAAGCTTAAGAGCTCCAGCACGACTCACAGTAGGTATGGCTCAACTCACCGCAACACACTGTCGCTTATTCTCTTAACTAGCTCCCTTTTCTGTCACCCAGTAGTGTTGCCAACAACTCGGTCATCCTGGGTTTTACAGCGTCCTCGCTGTATCATCATACATATATATTTTTAAATACAATTTAAAAGGGATTACTCTCTCTCTTTCTTACTAAATGTATTCATTTGAATATAATACTGAATAAATAATTAAAATATAAACTGTATGTAACAGAATAACAAAAAATAATAATAATAAAAACTCGTGTGTGTTTTACCAGTACGCTTGCGGGAAGTTAAACTTCTTTTGAACGGTACTCACTGAGTGAGTGAAAAAGAAAGTAAGGCATGGATAGAATGGGGTAATGAGGATAATAAAGAAAGTAAAGAAACAATGTAAATTATATTTTTTATATTTTTTTTATTCTAATGATTGATTATCATTTTGCTCAATTGGTATAGTAGTTATGATTGGCATATGATAACTAAAATAGGAAACGTACATTTGCGACTGAACATTATCGATATATCGCGTAAAAATCGAAGTAACCATTAAAATTTAAAATAGGAACTACTTATTACTTAATAACAATATTATTATATTAATAACAATGGCTAAAAGCACACTAACTGGATACGTGTACATTGTACAACTTAGCCACCACGGGAACGCGGGCCGTCGCCGCCACCACCACTTCAACCCACCCAATAATCGAAAAACCGGCTCGCCGCACGACCTGGACCTTTAATCACAAGTCGCAACTGCACGTGTATGGTATTATTATTATCATATCGTCGTCGTCGTCGTCGTCGAAACCGCATCAGCTGTCACCGTCCAACATTATAATTTATAATACGTAATATTATTATTATTATGTGATATTATGTATATGACGTACTGATACGCTTCGCACCGCCGCCCCGACGACCGTATGAAATCATCTCGGACGATCATTCCGTATTTATCTAAATATTTATCTCATTAATATTATTATTGAGTATTCTTTGTTTAATAACCCAACTAAAAATACTGTCGCTTAATGACACAACCTATAGCCGTTTACAAAATACAGCTACGACAATCCGCGGCTGCGCACAACGACATGTCCGCATTTGCGTTCGTACGGCCGCCCGTTCGCTTTTTTTTTCCTCACTACCCTGCGTAAAGAAGATTAACTTCAATAATAATAATAAAATAAGAATAATCATACTGGATTAAAAAAAAAATAAATTCAATTACTTCAAATCTAAAACAAATATTATCAATTTAATTCTTAACATAATATACTAGTAATACTGAAGTCTTATATTGTTTAGTCCCTCAACCATGATGGCTTTCTTTTAACTCTTGATGCTGGTTGTTCTGGAACTGTTTCAGTTTTGTCTTCAGTCTTTTTCTTTTCTTCAGTCCTCTTCTTTTCTTCAGTCTTTTTCTTTTCTTCTGTCTGTACTTCATCACTATCGGTTGCTTCTTCATGTTCATCAGTGATATGATCTGGTACATTATCACATTCGGTTCCTATTCGATATACTTTAAGATGAGATGCATGAGCTGTTGTTACATACTGGCGTCCCTCCTTCACTGTCACATCAGCTACTTGGTACACATCGTTAGGTAGTACTTTATTTATTATCAAAGGTCCTCGAAACTTTGGTTGTAATTTTGTAGGTACACCTGTATGTATATCTGGACGTCGTAGGAACACAACTTCTCCTACTTTAAACTTCACAGATTTTGTATGTTTTTGATCATATCTATTTTTCTACTTTACTTGTTCCATTTCGATGTTGACTCGTGACTGGTGTTATAGTTTATTAATATCAATTATCTCATTTATTAGAACTCCATAATTGAAACTTGCATGGTAGCCATATAATATACGAAATGGTGTATCTTCAACAGTTTTATTTTAGGAATTATTCAATTGACTCTCAACTTCGAGTAATTTCTTGTCCTAATTTCTTTCATTAGTCATGTTCGCCTGTAGTACTGGTACAAAAGTTAAATTCACTCGTTCAACTTGCCCATTGGACTGTGGATGCCTGACTGAAATTAATGTATGTTTGATTCCACCTAACTCACAGTATGTCTCAAATCGTTTGGAAGTGAACGCAGTACCTCTGTCACTAATAATCCTTTTTGGTAGGCCATGTAACAATATAAAACTTTTTAAACATTACAATACTGAATCAGTGTCACACCTACGCACTGCATATAATTTCATATACTTGGTTAAGTTGTCAACTAATACCAAAATATGATTGTTACCTGAAGTAGATTTTATGAATGGTCCTATGTGATCAAGATGAATAATTTCAAATGGCCTCTTCCCTGGTGGAATTGTATGAAGTTTACCTCGTTGACGCCCCTTAGGTACCTTACTGAGCATACATTCCGGACAGCATTTTATATGATATCCATCATACCTATGCATACGAACAAAATAATAACGTTCCATAATCTTAGATACCATTCTATCTAGTGCAAAGTGACCAGATAGGTTATGACAGCGGACTACCAGACTTTTCCGCATTCCATCTGGTACTACCCACAATTGTTGTGTTCGATATAATATACCTTCACGTAGAACATAATTTTTAATCATACTGTCCTCAGCTACAGAGCGCTCTTCTGGTCCTTTTGTCAAGTTATTGATGATATACCGTAACTTCTCATCACTTCTCTGCATGGCCATTACATGTTCCTCTTCGGTCATTGCTAACATTACCTCATAGTCTTCTAGTTCCTGTTCAGTATCATATGGTATGTCCACTGGCGCTCGCAACAATGCAGCAGCGTGCGCCATTTTAGTTCCTGGTCTATGTCTTACTTCAAATTTGTATTCACTCAGTAGATTTGCCCAACGTGCCACTTGTGGATTGACTGTTCTTTTTGTATTGAGTTGCACAATGGCTTTACAATCAGTGATGACAGTGAATGGAATTCCAATGAGTAAATGACGTAGACGTGTTATACTCCATACTATAGCCATTAATTCTAATTTACCTGCATGGTAATTTTTCTCCACAGTTGTCGTTTTTTTTGAAACAGCATGAACAAGATGCATTTTCTTATCATTTTCACCTCGCTGTAACAACATTCCACTCAGACCTACTTGATTGGCATCACAATGGAGTTCCATGTAAGATGATAGGTTAAAAAGTTGTAATGCTGGGCTACTGGTTATACAATGTTTCAATTTGTCAAAAGCTTGCTCTTGCTCTGCCTTCCATTTGAATGGTATACTATCTTTTAAAAGTTCTATCAGTGGTCTGGCTATCTCAGCATAATGCGGCACAAATCTGCGAAAGAATCCCGTCAACCCCAAATAATGTCGTACTTCATGTTGATTAATTGGTTGTTTCATATCTAGGATCGCTGACGTCTTGTCCAGTCCTAGTTTAATGCCCTTGGCTGATATCTTATATCCTAAGTAAGTGACTTCCTCGTAGCCGAAATAACATTTCTCTAGCTTCAGTGTCAAATTAGCTGCCCTTAGTGCTTCAAATACTTTTCGTAGTCGATTTATCATATCGTTTAAATACCACATCGCGTCTTTTCGTTGTAGATGTTGCATGACTCCTTGCATTAAACGTGAAAACTCATAAGGTGCATTTACTAACCCGAATACCATACTCTCAAATTGTTCGGTCTCACTCGGTGTAATAAAACTTGTTTTGGCCTTTGCTTCTTCCGTCAGAGGTACTTGTAAATAACCTGAGGCAAGGTCCAATGTATAAAATAGTTTTGCGTCACTCAATGCTTCTAAATGATCATCCATGTTCGGTGTCGGGAATACCTTACGTATAGTCTGCGAGTTTAACTTTCTATAGTCAACAACTAATCTTAGTTCACCATTTTTCTTTCTTAACAATAACACAGGAGAAGCGTATGCTGATTTTGTCTCCGTAACTAGACCTGCCGCCTTCCATTCACTGACAATTTTGTCGATGATGTCTCACTCCGCCGCACTTGCTCTGTAAGGTCTGCTTACCACTGGTACATTATTGTCCACAATGTCCATAGTTAGTGCGTTTGTACATCCTAGTTCGAATATATGAAAAGCAAAACATAGACGATACTCATTCATCAGGTTTACCAGTTTAGTTACTTCATCCTTGGTGAATGACAGATTATGTTTAACCATACCTGCTGTAATCGGTTCTTTTTCATGTTCAATCAACATCACTTCTACGTTTGTAGGTTGTCCAGTTATTGTCTCATTTGGTTCTTCAATATAAGGCAGTGGCATATTATAATCAAAAATCAACTGGTTAGATGTCTTAATAAAAGATACATTTTCTCTATTGATGAAAGTGCGTCCTATGAGTATATCATAGTTTTGAATGTGGTCGTCAACAACTAATAAATCTACATATTCCTTTACAGAGTCTATCTTTAACCATGCCTTCGTATCACCGTCACCAATTACACAAGAGGTGTTACCATACACATTAAGGTTAACTGTTCGTGATTTTATTGTCAGTCCATATTTTTGAGCTATACTTCGCTTGATAATGCAAAGTGCACTCCCGGTGTCTACTAAGCCTTGAACTTCTTCGGAATCCTCATTGATTTGTACACGTTTTACATATAGTGTTCTATTTACTGTGTTAGTATCGATCAAAGCGACGTCCGACGTGACTGCTTGACAATACTTGGCGGTAGGTCCCTCTGTTCCACACTTTAAGCATTAGGGCGAGTATAATCGCGTGCTATATGTCCTATCAACTGACAATTATAGCACTTAGGTCCCGCAACCGTACTATTACTTGTATTATGTCCCTTTTTAAAACGTGTGTATGATGGCTGCCCCTGTGTAGTAGGTTTCGACCCTTGCTCAACAACTTTATCGAATGTTTTAGTAGCATTCTTTATATCATATGTCGATACGGCACGATAACGTTCACTTCGATTACAATGCACTTCAGTATACATACGTATATCTGCCAATAGTTCCACTTCGCTTGTGTGACTGTTACTTAACACGTTCACTGTCCGATGACCCATATGTGGTTCATGGTTTATTTCTTGATTAGTCCCTATTGAAAATTGATAAACAGTACGCGCTAGTCCACTTCGATAAAATTATTTTTGATTATATTTGGAGTGCCAGAGTAAGCTACATCTATAAACAATGATAAATACAAACCAGTTATATTTAAAAATAGCATGACCCATATGTGGTTCATGGACTTGAAATCAATACTTTATTTTGTTTATAGTTCATGACCCGTATGTGGTACATGTTAAATTGTTACGTAAAATATGCGTATATTATTATTTTTACATGGGATTTCCTCGGATCCTTAGATACTATTTAAAATGTTTGTTCTTATCTTTGACGTACAGTTGTATAGTATAACAGTAGAACGAAAACACATTAGTTGCGTACGTGGTCTATTATTGAAACAACTATGTCGTCGAAATCACATAATAATTTAAATGTGGACGATATTGAACGTGAATTGGAGAATAGTGACACAGAATTTGAAAATTACGACAGTGACAGTGATCCTGAATATTTGATGTCTGATGGAGAATCTGATTCAAATGATGAAGAAGTTGTAGCACATGGTGATCCGGTTATAGATTTTCTAGAAGAAGACTGGTCAAACACTGTTTTGAATTTGCGCAGAGTTGATTTTACTGGTAAGTCTGCTGGTTTACTACATGAAATAGTAATAGAAGATTCTACAAATATTTTGAAACCGATAGACGTATTTTTTAGTATTATCGATAATGACATTTTACTTTTAATGTGTAATGAAACAAATCGGTACGCACACCAGAGGCTAAATAGTGGACCAGTTAGAAGAAGTAGTAGAATGTCTAGATGGAAAGATGTAGATATTGATGAAATGAAAAAGTTTTTAGGTGTTTTGATGTTTTCTGGTGTTGTTGTATTTCCTACTTATGAATCATATTGGAAAAAAGACAGTCTATATTATCATGAGTTATTTCACAAAATTGGCATGAGCTATAATAGATTTATAATTATTTTAAGATGTTGGCACTTTGTAGACAATAATATTGCTAGAGATAATACAGACAGGTTATATAAAATTAAACCGTTAATGGATATGATTTTTCAAAAAACACAAAATTTGTACACTCCAGGAGACACATTAGTTGTTGACGAATCTATGATAGCTTTTAGAGGAAGACTTTTATTTCGTCAATATAACCCGTCAAAATCCCATAAATATGGTATCAAAATGTACAAATTGTGTACACCTGAAGGTTTTACATGGGCTTCTAGTATTTATTGTGGTACAGGACCTACTTTAGGAACTCTGGATAAGCCGGGAACAGTTGTGGTAAATTTAGCTGATAGTTTACTTGATGAAGGCCGTTTGATAATAACAGACAATTTTTATACTAGTGTTCCACTTGCTGAATATCTTTATGGCCGAAAAACTGATTTTTGTGGTACTTTAAGAAAAAATCGAAAATGGCTTCCAGTAGATGTAAAAGATAAAAAATTGAAAAAAGGGCAGGTTATAGCAAGACAAAAAGAATTTATTACAATTTTAAAATGGCATGACAAAAGAGATGTTTTGATGTTATCTACTTGCCATGGAGATCAAATTCAAAATACAGGAAAAACAGATAGAAAAGGAAATACAATAACAAAACCAAAAATGATTTTGGATTACAATAATACAAAACAGGGAATCGATGTTTCAGATCAACTAAGCAGTTATTATAATCCACAACGAAAATCTCTTGTTTGGTACAAAAAAGTTGCTATGGAATTACTATTTGGGATAACAGTAGTAAATAGTATGATTATTTTCAACAAACAAGTAAACAAGAAACTAACTTTACTTTCATTTACCGAATCACTGTCTAGAAGTATTTTGTGTACAGAGGTTACAGACAAATCAGAATCTGTGAACATTCAAAAAAATATTTCAATGCATTTTCTTGAACAGTTTGATAGACAAAATGGAAAAATGCAAAGAAAAAGATGTCATGGGTGCTATTCAAGTCTTCGTGAAGATGGACAGTTGAGTGCAGAAGAAGCTGGAAAAAAAGCAAAAAAAGTTAACACACATTGTAAAGTATGTGGTAATGCTTATTGTTTAATTTGTTACAACAAAATCCATTAGTTTTACAAATAAAATGTAATGAAATATAATATACAATAAATAATTTATATATATTATGCATGTATTTTTATTAGCTTATAACAATTACAAACATATTAAAACTATATATCATTAGAAAGCTTATCATCTCCCCAGTCTAACTGTGTTATTATGAATTTCATAGCATGTAGTCCATTCCAATAAAGCAACAGGAAAATAAATGTATGAAATGAACCACATATGGGTCATGGACTGATGAAATAGGTTTGACATGACCCACATATGGGTCAAAGGACTGATCAGTTTTGATTAAATTTAACACATGGACAGTGAACGTGTTAATATAGCGGCACACATTTCACGAGATTTGAGTCCGATGCACACCATTTTTTTGTTTCGGTCGCAGTTAGTTTTAAACGTTGACACATATCGTGAACCTTATCGTGAAAATATGCGTATACCGTTTCACCACGTTGTTGAACACGTTCATCCATTTTCTTCCATGTCTCTGTGATGCTCTCTTGGCTGGTAAACATCTCTTCGAAAGATGTAATAAATTTATTCATCGTGTCTAGTTCTGCCATATGACTCAAATACCAATTACTTGCCGCGCCTCCCAGGTGTGATCGCCCTGCTTCTAAAGTATAGGTATCAGGCCATTCATTCAAATGAGCAACAGTTTTTAAAGCATTAATCCACTCGGTAGCTGCATCCGTGTCTCCTGATTCGCCTGTAAACATTGGTATGATCTACTCCTGGTTTGGTAGCACCGCTGGTACAACGTGCGAATTATTCCGCCTATGGTCGAGCAACCTATTGAGGATAGCGTCCATCTGTTGCTCGCACAATCTATTTTGTTCCAACATAGCGCGTTTGAGTCCATTGATATATAACGGAACCGTAGCCGCAACACTATCAATACTATTTTCTTCGTTATCATTCGTCATCATATCAATTAAACGATTTCAGATAATTCTTATCAGTCACAAATCCACCACGATGTCGAACCATACACCGATGGCCAAGTACGATTCTTCCTGAACGACAAAGCGTAATACGACGGTATTACCACCTTTTTTTTCTTTTTTTTTATGTTATGTCGGTATAACCACCCGTTTAAACACAGAATACCAAATTTTAATAACACAAAATAGTCAAAACTATGAATTTAGATATCATCCAACAATATCGTAATTTACGCAATTGAAGACACAGTAACAACTCACGACGACTATAATACGTTCGCACAGACTGTAACGGTTTTTTTTTTATTACACTAGGGCTCACCAAGGATATCGCACAATCCTAGTACATCCCACTTCTGAATCAGTCAGGATTTCCAAAATGTTCACAATGTTAACAAAATATGTATATACGCATAGAACTTTATTGCATTAAACAAAGAAATAAATAATAAAACTAAAACAACTTAAACGCTTAAGAGCTCCAGCACGACTCACAGTAAGTAAGGCTCAACCACCGCAACATACTGTCGCTTATTCTCTTAACTAGCTCCCTTTTCTGTCACCCAGTAGTGTTGCCAACAATTATATCACTATATTGTATTATTATTTATATTGTTATTGATTATGGCATATAATATCATTATCATATTGTGATTAATGATTAAATTGTTTTATTTTATATATTGTTATATTAATTATTAATTAGAACTTACATAGTTTAACATTTTCAGCTAAGTATTATTCTTTGTGGTCTAATTGATTAATATTATAAAAATACAAATATAGAGTCTACTATAAAATTATTCGTTTGTTTCACGTTGTTTTTTTTTTTTTGTTAAGTATTATTTATTAATCGGAAATCGTGACAAACATTTGGTCTTTCGAACCCGATAACTAATTAATTATATCTGATAGTACTACCTATTAGCTTGTAAAATTATTATTATTGTAGTATTTTCTGCAAGATATTATTATTTATTCATCCTGTTAGCATAGAGGGAAAGAGGAGAAATATATAAAAATTATAATATATAAATGGATTTTGATAATAGGTTGATTTTATTATATAAATTATTGCTATTGTTAAAAAAAAGAAATATTTTAAAAGTTTCAAATTGCTTGTTATTGCGAACATTGATTTCGGTAATCAAAATTTCTAATTAAAAAATACTATTCAAATTTTAGAAAGTTTCAATAAATCAATAAGTAAGTGATTTTGTGTATATTTATGTTGAAATGTTAGTATGATCAATACATTTACCAACGATGGATTAAGTTATTTATACTTCTTTGTTAGATTTGAAAACTATAACGTTAACATTGATTTGTTCATTAGTTCTTGATAGATTGCTTTTATCGTTAATAGTTTTAGTTTTTTTTGCTTGATGGATTTGCAATTTTTTATTACTAACTAGACAAAGCGGTGTATTCGTAAATTCAGTTAAATCAAAAAAATAGATAATTTACTTAAACGTAATCAAGAATAAATTATACTAGAACCTTTTTTTTATTTTATGTTATTAAAAATAAAAGAACCTGAGACAATTTAACTAATGTCATTAATATTACAAAATTTTTTATTTTAAAAATATTTTTTTGTATCATAAAGCCAAAGACACAGGTGAGTGTTAAAATACTTAATTATAGTCATTAAAACTCGAAGTAAATATCATTAAAAATAATAAAAAAATAATATGCATTAATATTTATAAAAAAATAATATTACTTTTATTTACAATTAATATTTATATTTCATAAGAAACTTGAATTGTTCGTAAAAATTAAAAAATCAAATTATTATTAAAAAAAAAAATATTGGTCATAATAAAATAATACAAGGATATGTCGAAAAAACAGTACGCGAATATTTAATAAACATTTTAGTTAATATAGAATAATAATGAATATTTAATTGATGGATAATAACTTTAATCATTTCTTTTACCTAAATTCAAAGGCGTAAATTATTTATTAATTATTTTAGAATAATTAAACACCTAATATTGTTTTTATTTTTACTACAGAAAATAGTTTTGAAGCATTAGATATTCCATACAGTAAGTACAAATACAATACTCAATATGGCAATATAATTTTATAAATATAGAATTACATAAAATAAGCAAAGATATGCGTATCGTTCCGCTTCTACTCTAAATATCATTATTTGGATAAATTTTCTAGTTAAAAATGTTCAATTATACTTATTAAATTAATTCTGTAAGTGTTGTGTTGCAATTTATCAGGCTGATGTAGGAAACGATGGAGTGGTGCGCACCACTCAATTAGAATTTTTAACATCTTTTTTTTATTGTTTTAATGATACAATAAAACTATAAATAGTGATTATATTTAAAGTATCACTCCATAATTTAAGATTGATTTTTTTAATGATATTTTTTTTATTATTCATTCTTCAAAAGAAAATTTCGAAATAACAAAAACGAACGAGAAATGTAAGTATAGATCAATTAATTTCTTTTACATTATTTTTTATGTTATTTACAATGTTTTTTTTATAATACTTATGGAACTATAAAGATTGCAAACGATCTAACTTATTCATTAATATGAATAAGTATTGATATTTAAATCAAAGTCGTTGATTATTGTTGATTGATTTTGAACAAATCTTGAGTACCCCTATATTATTATAAAAATAGTCGACATTTTAGAACACAGTCTTATGTGATATTTTTTTTACTCGTAAAATATTTTTAAATTTAATAAATAGAACAACTCAATATCAAAGTTAACTTCCTAAGATCAATACATGGAATTTGAATCAACGGTTTACTCAATAATACTTAGTGATTATTTTTTTGATGATTGAACAAATAGAGTAAAATTTTAAAACAAGGATTATATTTTATATTATAATGATTAATCATTGATTATGAACAGCTGGTTTTAAACCTCGGTACTACGAGATATTCAGTGAGTACAAACTTATATTACAATAGAAATAAATAATGTTAATTTATTTTAGTTAACAGTTGGTATTCGTAGCAAAATGGACGTTGAACGTTTATGGTATTGTCGTATCTAAATTTCGTAGTAGTGATATTTTAAATAGTTAAATAAGTAATTATGTTAATGTGCTCTGTTTCTAACGACGAAATTTACGATAATGAAGATATTAAATGCAAAAAGTGTAAAATGTTTTTATCTTTTCATGCACAGGTATTAGATAAGCCAATTTCAGAAAAATGAGTTCTTCAAACAAATTAAAATGCTGTTGTGGAAATTGCAAAGATTTTATTTTGTTTAGTAGTTGTGGTATAATGGTTTTTGTTGAATCTGGTTTATAATCTATCTTAATATAAGGAAACAAACTACAAATTCGAATGAGGTTTTAGTATGTGAAAATTAAGTTGTGTATGGTAAAACTCAGGAAAGTATTCTAGGTCCAATTTTGTTTATTATGTTCATAAATAATTCATAAATAAGCTATGTACTATGAATGTTGACGAAAAAATAGTTGTATATGCGGATGATACATGCTTTTAATTATCTGGTTTTAATTGGGAAAGTTTAAAAAAAAATAATGGAATTAAATTTTAAGAAAGTAATTAAGTGGTTAAATATTAAAAAACTGTATTAAAACTTCAACAAAACAAATGTTCATGCTTTTTTCAATAAATAACTTTTTACCACCTCTTGAAGAAATTACATTGCATGAATATTCAAATCGATCAAACTAACTGTCTAAAATTCAGTATTGTCAATAGAATAAAATATTTACGATTGACATTGGATTGTAACCTTAAATGGTACGTTTATTTAAATAGTTTGATAGTAAAATTGCAATCTTGAATGATTAAATTTCATAAATTAAAATATATAATGCAATACTGAATGGTAATTTGGGTAGTACCTCTAATAATGTTTTAGATCCATTGAGGGTTCTATATTACTTTGACATTACAGATGTGATTTAGTAGACATTTATTTCTTAACTTGACTTGCCTTGAGTCACATTGTATATCTCTTTACTGCTCATTGGATTGATAATTGAATCTATGCCCTTCAAGCTATCTTGCACTATTATCTCTTAGTGCCATAATAAATTATGATGGGGAGATTTTCCAGTATTTGAACGTCACACACCAGATTCTGAAGTATTAAATATAATTAATTTTGTCAAATAATAATTAGAATGTCAAACAGGATAATAAATTTTAGTTATATGTAAAAAAACAATAAATATGTAATATGTACCTTTAAAAACAGATTCATAAGCATTTAGCAGTATTTATAGTCAAATAACATAACATATACAAACGACCTTAATTAATAATATAATAATATAATTCGTTAAATAATGCAATAACAAATTAAATGTTGAAATAAACAAGAAACCCTATATATTATGTATGTAAGATTCCACACACTAAAGTTAAGTAGTCACTCATTTCTTTGTATTTAATGCTTACCACACATATTTTATTCTTATTAACCTATTTCACTTAATATAAACAATAAACACTGTATTTATTTCCATAAATGACTATGCTTAATTAACTTTTTTCATAACGTAAAATATAATAATTAGATCAAACTATTCAATTATAACAGCGTTATTTAAACGTGAAAATATATCAACAACCCTGTTTAAATCTCTTTTAGAGATGTAGAATGCTTTTAATATCAATTATAAAAAGGTCAATTAACCTATCTTCATTCATCACCCATGGTTAACCTTAAATAACTGTTAACTCTTTTAAGAAATCAAGAAAATATCTCATTTGTAGTTGTTGCTACTAGCAAAGTAATTAAGATTGATATTATTTTTAATTTATTAAAATACATACGTATTATGCACTTTATTAAATATTCGTAAATTACTATAAAGATCCATGTTTTCAAAGATTTCTTTAATACATTATGTTTTAGTACTTAAAAATTATGAGGATAAAAGATTATTGTCAATTTTGAAATACCTATAGTGATCAAAAAAGTGTATTGAAAAAATGTAATCTGGATTAAAAAATGCTATTATTTTCTAATGATTCACACTATTTTAACCAAGGATAATTGAAAATTGATAGTTTAAACACTCCCCGTGCTTCAAGGTATATATATATACACAAATGGGGTTGAATTAGTAGATTATGAGTTTCTGAGATAAGCTAGAAGTTATTGTTTTGTATAATAAATATTTCTAATAAATAAAATATTTAATTATTATTTACATTTAACGCTTGACAAAGACTTTTATCTCAAAAACTTAGTATAAATTATATGTTGGAGAGACTTAATTAATGTATTGTTGAGCGCATAACTTCGTAGTTACTTTGAAAAATATTATTACTAAATAATAACACACTAAAACTATATAAAAAATAAAATATATTTAAAGATGATTAAATAATACATTTTTTTTTTGTGCTTACAGGAAAATCTTTAATTTTAGATGATACTGTTTGTAAGTATTTTTATGATTGCATACTTTATAAAAAAAATTTTTACATTAAGAACTTTTTCATTATTTTTACTTATTTGTTAGAGAAAAATCGGTATTATTTACAAAGAAAGTTGATTCTTAAAAAATTAGTTCTTATTCATTAAGTTTAAGATTCGGTATAATAAATGTACATCCGCCTCAGCTGTCCTTTGGACTTTGCAATTTATATCCTTATATGATCTGGACCATATCATAAAAAGATTCTAGATGCACGTTGGACGGTAGCTATAAATCTTCCTAGGTCATTTTCGCGATCGGGGACATCGGTTGGACCACGTGACACAAATACAATCTTTAACTCCCTAGAGATAACGTTAATGTTGCTGACGAACGTTTTAACTATCATCTAGAGTGGATCCCAATACGTAAAATCGAATATTGTGTGTTTCGTGGTATCCAAGAGATGTTTACAATACAGGCACGCCACATTGAGGTGCGCTTAATCCGGTTCAGGTACTGCCTAAAACACCCGTGTCCTGTAAGTGTCTGGGTTACACGAAACTTTAGATATCTAGGAAGTCGAAAGTCGTTTCACCTATCTTCCCAAATCCGGAAAGATCCTGGATGGTCAGGCCATGACTTCACCTATTGGACAGAGCAGCAAGGAGGATGTCATACTCTGATTGTCGCATCTCAACCTCGAAATCAATCCTATCAGGTTCATCAAGCTTGCTTCGAAATCTTTTCCTTTCCATTACTAGGAGATATCCCAAACTAGTTTCTACTAAAATTATGCTGCCTCAGCCGAAACGGGTTCCCGCGTCACTCTAAGAATTCTCTAAGCTCAATTCTGTGTGTTTGTGTCAGAATTAGATCACCTGGCACTTGTTCATTCAAAAGTCCAATTTTTAATGTTATCACTTTATCAGAAATTCTAACCTAAATTAACCCAATGAATAATTTGCTCACAAACGTGACTACACAGTTTGAAGCAATTCTAATCAATGATTTCCTTGTACTCCAGTGTTTAGAATTGCTATATGTATCTTTTTGTATATTCATGGATTAGCGAGAGACAGCGCTATAAAACTCGATGCAATAAATAAAAATGGTTTTAATACATTGGGAACACACAATTAATTCATTTTCTCTAGGTGGTATTTTGCTGGTGCATTTTTTAATAATACTTGATGTAAACTATTAATCCACGTTATAACATTATTCGTGATAGTAGCACTACTACAGTTAAATCTGACTGCCAGATCAAAATCTGGAATTTATGCCTCAACTTTATTTAGGTTCTGATTATTTGAACTTCATTGTTAATGCTTTAAACGGACTACGTTAAATTATAATCAATATTCAATGGTTTTACTAAATTATAAAAATCTACAAATACTGAATTTGAAAGCACACCAATGAAATAATTTAACAGTTCATAATTTTAACAAAATTTAGCATAATACATTTTATTCGTAAATGTCTTAGTCCAATTTGCTAGTAAACTGTTCCGTACATAGTTTCTTTGGATGCAGTAGATAGCTCTTATAAAATCTTGTAATTCGTTTGCTAAACATTTTTGTTCTGTTTACTTTTTAAAATCAATTATTCCTAACCTTCAACCCATAAAAAAAACATTTTTCGATTTACTAAAAGACTGTTACTTCACCCCTGACGATGTCCTCCTCAAGCTAAATTTTCTAAAAAATGTGTTTTCTGGCCATTTCCTCTACACAACAAACCACATTATTTTATATCCTTGTTGATCTCTTAATAAAAGTACTTTCCCTAAAATGTGGAAAATCTCGGTCCTGTTACTCTCATTTAAAATCCAGGTAGTTCTTCATTAGTCATCAATTATAGACCAGTTCAAATTCTAAGACATATTTCTAATCTCTTTGAGTCCTTAGTCTTAGACTCAATTTAGTCTTCGGTTAAACTGAATTTAGCCAACGAACAACTCGGTTTTCGTCCAGGAAGATTTACGGTATCTTATAACCTCTTCTACTGTAAATAAATACTTGAATTTTTACTGAGTGATCACAAGTTTAAGTCATCTTTACCGACTTTACTAAGGTGATTGATTCAGTAAATGATAAGATTCTTATTTCTCTATTCGGTGCTTTTGAATTTGGAGATCCTATCCTTTCTTGGTTGAATTCATTTTTATCAAATATATCACAATCGGTTTATGTGATTAACTCAAAATCTGATATATTTCTATCTCTCTCTGGTGTCCTCAAGGTGGGAATCTAGACTAGTGATATGAAGATTTTCCTTAGGAATTTTACTGGTGGTGACTGTCTCAAACTCCAGAGTTATCTTTAAAAGTTTTCTGCCTAAGCTGAAACTCTCGGTCCTACATTAAATTGTAAAAATACCATTCAATGGAACTAAAATTCGTTCTCCTATTACTCCCTCTTATACTTTGAACAGCTCTAATTTGATGCTCTTTGATTCTAGCATTTGTGATCTTGACTTTACTTTTACTCCCTTTCATTGTTCTCGCGCCCACATCGATATAATTAATTGCAAAGCTTTAGAAAAAATGGGTTTCGTTAAAAGGTTATCTGGTAACTTTAAACTCACCATCTCTCTTAAACCCTGACTTAACCTAACCTGATTGAGATCAGCAGACGCCAGTTTACAACTCAGGCGACGGTTCAGCGTAAATTCCTTTGTTATATGAATCACGTCTTGAATGTAAACCGCGAACACATGATTATATTCTACCATTATTTCTACCATAGAAATATTGTAAATTTATTATCGTATTTTATTTCACTTGTTTTTATGTTCCATTCTTATAATAAGTATCTTATTGTTATTTTTTTGTCAACTTTACACCATTACTGTAACTCGGACTAAATCCTGTTTTATCATGAAGAAATGAATAAATTATATACGTGTACAACTTGAATATCAAGATGAATAATAACACTAGTTCTATGTTTAAATAAACTTTTTTTTGTTACCAAACCTAATAGCTATTGTTTTAATTTATTTTATTTTTAAAATGAGATTTTTAAGTAATTTTCATTTAGTTATCTTATTTTTTATTTATATGAAAGAAAAACTTAAAAATAAAATTATAAAAATAAATAATTTGTTTTTCTTCTTTTATATATTATTAATAACTTAAATTTACTATTGAAACTGCAAATTTCATGTTCAATATTTATCACTACCCATCTAATGCATTTTTGTAAATGAAATATTTATGGGAAAATTAATTTCACTTTTTTTAATATATTTATGAATTATATAAACCAGTGTTTTATTTTATTTTCAGCAATAAAAGAACTTTGGGTTGAAGCTCTTGATATACGAACTGACACGTACATGATTAAATTTCATAACCAATTAGTACTCAGTGTAGGTACCTTTATTTATATTATTTATAATTAAAAAATCTAATTTTTATAAAAAAAAAAACACGTATGGCTTTCTATATGTAATTTTCTTCAGCTTAGATCACTCTGAGATAAAAAATTTCAAAAAGTTCATTCTGAGTCTCCAATTCCTAAAGACAAAATTCTGGGCAAACCCGTTCATGGTCGAAATCGAAATTATTATAAATTACCAGACTAATAAAATTATTATTCTGGACGAGTCAGAAATCTTCTTAGAACCTTGTGTAGAAACTCTGGTAGAAAATAAATCAGACAATCCAGCAGAGGACGGTATTCTAATATTAAATCAAGAAATCACAAGTTCGGTCATGTATTGTAATGTCGTTACGAAGGTAAAAATTCAAAGCGTCTTAGCATCATTTATAAGTCTAACAGAGAATAGAATTAATATTAAGGTATCGGATCTAAAAGAACTTATTCATGAAGTGTTTCGGGAAGCGTCGATATATGCAGTATACAAAGAAATTCAGGAAGAAAATCGAGTTGGACGCTGCAAGAATAAACCAATTGGTGAAAGCATTGCGCATGGATCACTTAAACTCTGAGAAAAAAAGTCATTGGAAACGATTTGTAATGAATATTCTGACGTATTCTTTTTAGAAGTCGACAAACTCAAAGCAAGACAGCAGTTGCCCACAAGATCAAGACTCCCGAGTTCGCAAACTAATACACACGAAGCCTTACCATTATTACGGCGACATCGTCAGGAAATCGGAGAACAGATGGAAATCCTTGAAAAAGGAGGTGTAATTGCGCTCAACGAGTCACTTTGAACCCTCTGCTCTAAGTTGTTCCGAAGAAACCCCATTGTAATGGAAACGTTAAGTGTCGTGTCCATAGGCGCCAGGTTTTCAAAAATCTATTGGGTGTTCTTACCAATGTCAAGTATTCGTGAGAAGGCTTTTTCCTCTCATTGCTTATACTCAATTGTCTACAAGCTGACAAAAAAACATATATTTTATAATATAATATAAGACAATTTATAATAAAAACCGAATATTTAATAAAATAATAGTTTTCGGTAACATTTATACTATAGGTTCAAACGATTCAGACAAAAATGTTTTAAATTCAAATGTGTTTTGGCTTTATTTATAAAGGTATTAGTGATTTTTTCAATATTCTCATTTTCGTTTCGATGGACAGGAAGAACAGCGATATCGTTGAGACGATTCTGTGTAATAGTTGATATCAAAAATGTCTTCAACCTTCTTAATTCTGAGAAAAACCTTTCTGAAATGCAAAAAGATACTGGATTAATTAAGTAGATTTGTAGTAGTTTGGAAAATTCTAATAACATTTCACACAAATGATAAGATTTTATGAAATTTACGGCGTCTTGTAAACTTTTTATAGACACTTCCCTAGATTTTGCAATATCTAATTACAGATCTCGATGTAATATCAATAAATCTCGATTAAAACCACTTGCGTAAAATTCAATTACGACTGTGATATGTCTGTGTTCGACGATTACATATTTATCTAGTGTACATGAATCCTTCTGATTATGAGAAGATTGCATTCTTCATTGACATAGGGCACTTTGAGTACTTGCGTATGTCTTTTGGATTTACCCATAGCAATTTACTTCACGCACACTGAATTAAGCTGAAGTTTATTATAATACTACTGAATATAGGTTCACTAGTATTGTATGGGATATTAAGGAATTTCGATCTTATCTGTTTAGACAACAGTTCAATATAGTAACCGATCATCGAGCCCAAGTTTGACTATTTAATGTAAAAGAATCTGATTGACTCGTTGGCGTTAGAAACTTGAAAAACACAAGTATACGATTTATTTCAAACCAGGTGTTAACAACACAAACGTCGATGCATTAAACAGTATCCAAGTAATGACCACAAAGATCCCTTACTCTATTGAAACTTCAAACTCCGTCAGAAACGAAAGAAAAACCCGTAAACTCCGAATCAGTTGAACCTAAAGAGGACCTCGAATACAAACTGACTGCAGATATGAATAATGGATACCAAGAATTTTTAAAAACAAAGGAAGAAAAACTGAGTTCCACAAGAAACATGACAGAACGATCAGGAGATCTATTTTCTGTAGTTACGGGAATTGTATTAGTTCATTGCGTATTAGCCTATTTCAAAGCTAGTAAAGGTATGACCGTAGAATTTCAATAACAATTTGGTAGGGTTGAGGAACTTTGTCATCAAAATAGCCAAGTAACGAAGATTGAAATGATTTAATTGACAAGCGCCAGGTGTTCTGCATAATCACCAAACAGTTATTTTGGCACAATACGAGCTACGAAATTCTATTTTAATGTCTTTAGAACCTCAGAATGATCTGCGCTAAGCATCAAAAGACGCAAATGATTTTTTTTTTTTTTATTTGATATAAACGCCTTTGTAGGCTTAAGTACAATTTAGACAAATTTAAAAATAAGGTTATCAACATAATATAAATTAAAAAGTACAACATTAAATAATGACGATAAAATAATAGGTGCAGATCAGTTAAAAAATAGCATAAAATAAAGGAAAAATAATTATAATGTATTAACGAGACCAAGCTTACCAATCATAAATTTCGAGTAGAAAATAGGTCCACATTTCTCAGCTCATTACATTCTCGAGCAATGTGATCTAGAGGATTATTATATCCATAATAAAGTTCAAGTCTAGTCTATGGTGTAGATGGTCTTAAGTGGAAAGTCGAACGAAATATGTTGCGGTAAATCTTTTGAGACCCTCCGTTATATATTCAGGTATACTCAACCTACAAGTTAACGGAAGATAATTATTTACGGGTAATCGAGGAATTTCATGAAAACCCTCTCGGCGGACATCAAGGCGTATTCTGTACATTCAACAAAATTGCACATCAGTATCAATGGCTGGCCATAAGGGCACAAGTCCAAAAATATATTAAGAGGTGTCTTGTGTGTCAGATTAGCATAATCCCGAACCACATAATCATTGAACTCGTGGTGATAACCACTACTGCATTGAAAGCTTTCGAAAATGTATTTATTGACATCGTAGTGTTGCGTTCCAATATCAGATCCAGATCCAGGGTGTTATTTAAATGAAAATTACAACTTTTAAGAACAATAATATGTTTATTACGTATAAATAAAGTTCAGGTAACTGATACAAAAAGTGGCTAAGTATTGTGAAGTTGCTCAGGTCTTCGTGGCTCTGGTACATCTGCTGTTGCTGGTCTCTAGGCTCCCTTATATATGAAAAAGCTTTTTGTTATTGTAGTCCATAGCCTTGATTTCCATATAATATATCCTTGAAGTTGTTTTGATACTTGTTTTTGGTAAAAACAATATCCAGGATGCAATCTGATCCTAATTGCCAACACGTGCCAATGCAATGTGTTGTTGCATACGAGTAACCTAAATAATGCATTTCACTCGACCTCGGTACGCGTAATGCACTATTGCGATGTTTGTTATGATGTTGTTGAGAAGTAGATAATTACACTCGAAAATGCATTATGATCCTAATGCAACGAGATTCATAATAATATGTATCTATTATCTTGTGTTATGATCTGTAAGAATATGTTTACTCCCAACACGTGTCATGGTCATGCTAATACTTATATTAGCAATATTATATATACTTATATTTAACAATATATCTCGTAGCCCATAACAACAGTAGAGCCGCTTAACAAATTTCACAACGGAGATTCGTATGTCTGAATATTGCTTGACAATTTCTCGAAGTTCACGTGGGCTTCAGCGATGAAGGATCACGAAGCAGACACGGTTGCACAACATTTTGTTACCCTATCTATATGTCTGCATGGTCAACCCGAATAATCGATGACAAACTGCTGTGAAACCGAATTCCTTAGTAAGATTTTAAAGAGGTGTGTAAACTTTTAAATATATCTCAAACTTCAACTACTACGTATCACCTACAGAATAATGGTAATTTAGAGAAAAATCACCGAATTCTTGGTGAATATTTGCGAAACTACTCTGGAAAGAATCCGCAAAACTGGGATTTATATGTCCCGTACGCAATTTATTGTCATAATTCTTCAATAACACTTCCTAGGAATTTTAACCGTATGAAGTTGTTTACAGACATCCTTTAAAAATTCCAAATTCACTAACCTAATTAAGAACGCCAGCACAACTAACAGGAATATCAATATAAAATGAAACGACTTATTCAAGAAACTGAACAACAGATAAAATTCAAAATGAAATCGCAAGATTGGTATGATTAAACAACTTTGCCTCTATAAATCAAGGAAAGTGATAGAGTCATAGTACAAGAAAAAGCAAATAAAGGCAAACTGGCTCCTAAATGATAAAGACCTTTAGTAGTACTAGAAACAACTGCAGAATCTCCGAATGCGACTATATTAAAAAAAAATAAATGTGACCGATTGCTTAAAAACCTCTTGAGGAAATTTCATAAATGAAAACTAAATTTAGTCTAAGAATCGCAGTGATATGCGGTCAGGAAAGGTCAGATGCTCAGAAGGAAAATTCTCAAGTCATCTCATTTAACAATTCAGTCGGTTAATAAAACTTTGAATAAATGGGTTCCACTTTGTATCTTTTTGCGACTTGGGATTTTGTCATTTATATTATCGTTACATACTATATGAAATATCAGCTACTTCAGAATTTCTTTAGTCAGACGAGCAAATTCTGTGTTCAGTTAAAGAAAAGATAAAATTCTGTATTAACAAGCGTTTGTACAGATTTTATATAATACACGTTTCCATTCTTGCATAAGATGGTATCCAATTTTAATTCCCTTCAGTGGCGTATATAGGTTTTTATTTCGGAGGGGGCCGATTATATATTTGGATTTCTTTGGGCAAAGGAGGAAGGGGACACACTATTTGGACAAAAATTGCTTGAATACTACAAGATTTTTCAACTCTCTTTAGACCATCAGAGTAATAAGAAACTCAATCATTTTTTTAATGAATTGTAACATAAAAAAAAGT